GGGGGAGTAGGTGAGGTGTGGGGGTGGGTGAGGGTGGGGATGGGTGAGGGTGGGGAGTGGGTGGGGTTGGGGGGGGGTGGGGGTTTTTGGGGGGGAGGTGGGGTGTGGGGAGGGGGTGAGGTGGGGGGAGTCAAGTAACAGTTTTCTTAAATTTGTACTTGCCTTTGTAGCTTTCTATGGAACAAGAAATTTTTTTCCTGTGTGTGTGTGGGGTGTTGTGTGTGGGGTTTTGTGTGTGTGTGTTGTGTGTGTGTGTGTGGTGTGTGTGGGGTGTGTGGTGTGTGTGTGTTATGTGTGTGTGTATGGTGTGTGTGTGTTTTTTTGTTTTGTATCACCTAGCTGAGGTTGGGGGGTCGAGTCCGGCTCCTGGCCCCTGTGTGTGTGTGTGTGTTGTGTGTGGTGTGTGGGGTGTGTGTGGTGTGTAGTTGTGTGTGTGTGTGTGCTGGTGTGTTGTGTGTGTGTGTGTATGTGTGTGTCCCAACCAAAATTGTACCCCCTGATTGTGGTTGCGGGGGTTTCAGACTCAGTCCGGGGCCCCCCCCTCTTCACTGGTGTACTGGGCCCCTCTCTTTCCCCTGCTCCATGCCTTTATCATCCCTACTTAAAGCTATGTATGGTTCCTGCCTCCACTCCCTAATTGCTAGGCTATTCCACTTCCTGATCTCTTGCTGCCCCCTTGTCTTTTCCACGCGTATTTTTATTTTGTTATCATGTTTTCCCAACCCTCCTGTCCTCCAGTGTCGTCAGGCCCACTTTTTAAAAACTTTTTCGTAGGACATTCCCCTTAGCTCTGGAACTAACCTTGCGCAAACCTTTGCACTTTCTCTAATTTTTTGAGTGCTTGATAAGTGGGGGTTAAAACAGGTGCTGCCATACTCCAGTTTGGGGCCCGACATACCGGTGTACAGTGTCTTGAAGTTCCTTACTAAGGTATCGGAACGCTTTTCTCGATTTGCCAGGCCATATCTTACGCAGTTATTGGTTGATGTGGCCCCGGAGACGTGCTCGGTGTTTTTACTACCTCAGGATCTTTTCCTTGAGCAAATTTTGCGTTTTTGGGCCCACCTAGCCTAATTCCGTCTGCGGTTACTTTCCCTTTCCCCCGATCTTCATGTTTTTGATTTGGCGGGGTTAAATTTGAAAAACCATTGCGGGAAACGGGTGTCCAGCCTGCCCAGGTCTTTTGAAGTCCCCCCGATCCTCTTTGTTTTAATTCTCCTCATTAATTCCATCACTGCGAACAGGGACATTTTCTGAGTCTAACCCTTCCATCATGTTATTACTGTACCAGAAATAGCCTGTCCTAGGCCGCCCCCTGTGGAACCCCCTCGCACGGGTTTGTCCACTGTGTATCTCACACGCCATGATCGTAGTTGCCCCCCTGTCAGGTATTTTTTGATCCATTGCAGCCCCGTTCCTGTTGTCCCGCCCTGATCCTCTAGCTTCTGCCAAATCTCCTGTGAGGAACTATGTCGGGGGGCCTTCTTGCAGTCCAAAAAAGATGAAAATAAACCCACCCCTCTTCTCGGTGTACTTCTTTTTTACTTTATCAAAAACTCCAGTGGTTTGGGCAAAAGGGAAATGCCTTCCATAAATCCGTGTGGTTGGGCGTTTATACTCTTGTTCCGTTCCGTGTGTGTGTTTACCAAATTTGGGGTTGCAGGGGTCGAGACTCACCCCTGGCCCGCTCTTCACTGATCGCTCTAGGTCTCTCTCTCTCTGTTTCCCTGGGGTTTGTAACCTGTTTAAAGCTATGTATTTTTCCTGCCCCCCAGTAATCATTGCTGGCTTTTCATTTCCCTGCGACTCTGTGACTGAAGAATACTTCCAAACATCCCTGTGACTCGTCTGGTTTTCATTCCATTGTGCCCCTTTTTTTCTGTGTCTCCTTCTGGTGCATCCTGTCTCTGTCCACATTGTCTATTCACCATTTTTTTGTTGTTTTTATCATGGGCCCCCTGACCCTCCTGTCCCCCAGTGTGTCAGGCCGTTTCCTTAACCTTTCTTCGTAAGAATTCACCCCACCCACCCCTTCCCTTCGTTAGGCCCATTCCATAGGGGCCTTCGTACACGGTGTACATGTTTGAACATTCCTTACAAAAGGGGTTTGGGAACGTATTTTGGGTTTTCCAGGGGCCATGTCGGCAGAGTTTTTTGGTCGATGTGTGCCTAGGAGACGTTTCTGTTAGTACCCCAAGTCTTTCCCTTAGTGAGGTTTGCAGCCTTTGTCCACCTACCCCTATACTTGTTTGCGGTTTCTCTCCCTTTCCCCCAATCTTCTGACTTTGAGGGGGGAGGGTTGAATTTGAAAAGGCCAGTTGCTGGACCAATTCCGCCTCTCCGGTCTCTTTGTAGTCCTGCCTACCCTCATTCGATTTAATCCTTCTCATTCTTCCCTATCTGCAAACAGGGACATTTCAGAGTTATCCCTTCCTCATTCATTCAATTTCAAAAATAGCACGGGGCCCTAGGACTGACCCCTTTTGGGACCCCCCCTTTCACAGGCGCCCCTGTGATCCCTCATACGTACCATGACTTTTGTTGCCTCCCTGTCTATTCTCTGTCTTGCAGTGCCCTTCCTGTTATACACCCCCTGACCTCCAGCTTCTGCACTAATCTCCTGTGAGGAAATGTGTCAAAGGCCTTCTGCTGCCGAAATGCAATCAACCCGCCCCTCTCCCCTCTCTTTTAACTTTGTTATCTTGTCTGTGAACAGGATTTGCTTCCCATGAACCCGTGCTGTTTTTGGGTTTATAATCTTATTTCGCTCCAGTGTTCCCCATCTCCTCCTGATAATCTTCCCCCATGACTTTGCATTATACACGTCAGAGAAATGGTCTGATTTTTAGTGCCTGTTTCTGTCTCCTTTTTTAAAATGGGGAACATTTGCCGCTTCCATCCCCCAGGTATTGCGCAATTTCAAGGGATTATTGAAATTGGGTTAGGGGCCCAACAGCATCTCTGTCCTTTTTAAAGGACCCACGGGGAGATTTTGCCCGGGACCCTGCCTTTGGGGTATCAGGTAATTAGCAGCTTTGCCCTCCTCTCAGTTGTTTGTATGTCATCTAGCACATTTTGGTATTTCCCCTTTTGGGTTTTTTTCCCCTTGTGCTGTCTTTCAGAGCCATTCCGGGGGTCTCTACTGAAAAATATTTCCAAAAATCCAGTTGAGCTCCTCACATCCTCGTGATCTTTCTTGTGAGTTCCCCCCCTTTTTCCCTTAGCCTGATCACCTGTCTTTGCTGTTGTTTCCCTTGATTGGCTGTACAGCAGTTTCGGGTCAGTTTACTTTCGATGCTATGTTATTTTCTATGTCGCTGGGCCTCCCTCCTTACCTGGTTTCTCGTTCCCGGCTCTTCGATTTATTCCCTTTTTTCCTGTGTTCTTCGCTTTTGACTTTTTCCTTTCTGTTGCACTTGGTTTATGCCTCCTTTCACCCTGGGTAAACCCAAAGGGGGCGTTTTGGTCGTCCCATTATTTTGTTGCCCTTGGGACAAAAGTTTCCCCTTTCCCCCTTTCATTTCGTCGTTAGTTTTCCTCATTTTATTTTCCGACTTTTCCCACCCGTTCTCTGTCCCACTGAACCTCCTGCAGGAAGTTCCTCAAACCTAGTAGTCCCCCGTTTTAGTCGGCTTTTCCCCTTCAACTCCTGTTACCCCTCTCCCCTTTCAACTTACTGTTTTCAAAGCAAGAACCACGTGACACTAGTCCTAGGGGCCCCTCATATGTGATGTCCTCAATGCTGAATGCTCAGGGAGAACCAGGGGCCAGTCTTGCTGGTGCTTTATCCCCCCTCTCTTTGGGAGTTCCTTAAAATGTTGATGAGGGTTTCCAGTCCACTCCCTCATCTTGGTCTCCATTTTCGGGCCCCCGGGGTGGCTCCAGGTTTTCCCCTCAAACTCCTGTGATTGAAAATCGCCCATAACTAGTAACTTTGCTCGCTGAGGAAAACCCTTTTGCCACTAGCCCGTGTGTCCCCCTTGCTCGTTACTTTTTTTTTCCTCTTGGCCCTCCTGCAGTTCTGATGGATTATACATCACTGCAAGACTACCTTGGCTACCCCGACTGAAATGTACCACTATGTATTATCTTTCTCCAATCTCGTCCAATCTCGTGTTGTGTGTGTGTGTGTGTGTTGTTGGGGTTGGTGTGTGTGTGTGTGTGTGTGTGTGTGTGCTGGGTGGAAAAACGGACACCTGGGTTCTCTGACATTCCTTTTAAAGGTACGAAAAACACCACCGTTGCTCTCTCTCTCTCTCTCTCTCTTCTTTTCTCTTCTCTCTCCCTCTTCTCTCTCTCTCTCTCTCTCTTCTCCCTTTGTCTCTCTCTCTCACTCTTAAAAATGTTCTTGATAATCAGTACATCTTAGTAAAATTTAAAATACTTAAGAAAATTGTTTTGATTAAGAGTCACAGACCACTCAGTCTGAATTCTGGTCCTCACTAGTGTAATAGTATTACATAACATTTCGATCCAGCCTAAACCCCTTTTAGGGGAGGGGAGGGTGGTGCCCGACCGAGCCCAGCCCGAGCCCCAGCCTTTAGCTCATAAGACTGTCATTCCCATGTGCCCCCTTGGGGCGGGGATGACAGCCCAAAAGGCCTAGCTTGTGGCTAGGCCTGGGGACAGTTTGGTCCCAAAAATGAGGGGTACTTGTGCCTCCCCCATGGGGGATTTAGGGCCAGACACTCCCTAAAGAGGGAGCCCGGGGGCCACCACTTGGAAAAGGCCCCGGGGCCCGGGGGAATACGGCGAATCTTTAATAATAATTAAAAATAAGCAAAAATTTATGTTAAGATATATATGTGATGTGACCTTAAATGGTGGTGCAGTTTGTATCTGAGTATAAAAACAGCTTTGCAGGTTACGCTTGTACACCACCCTGTACAACCACATTATAGTAAAAATAATAATTAAAAAAAAAAAAATATAATTAATATAATAAGTAAAAAAAATAAAATTTTCTGGTGGGAAAGTAAGAAGATTGTTTTTTATTGCAGCAAGTGACGCCGCCCAACCCGCCCCCCACCAGCCCCCCACCCGCCCCGAGTGCAAGCGTGGGGCGTACGGGTGGCGCAGGAGGTGTGGGGCAGGACTGAAGAAGTAGATCCCCAAGCCCCTCCCCCCCCCCCCCCCCCCCACACCCCCACTTACCCCCCACCCTTTTTCTTCCACTTTCTTTAACACCCTCACCCCCCACACCATCACCAAAACTACTACACCATCACCAACCCTCTACACGTTACCAACACCCACAACATCACCCCAAAACACCTACATCAAAAAAACACACCAAAAAACACTTTTCACCTATACACCATCACCACCTACACCATCATCATCTACACCATCACCACCTACAACATCACCCAAAACCCCCTACCCCCAAACCCCCTACAACATCACCCAACTACACCATCATCTTACACCCATCACCTACACATCACCAACCCACCTACACCATCACCCAAAACCACCTACACCATCACCACTTACTCTCCCAACTACACCATCACTTTACACCATCCCACATATACCATCACCCCCTACACCATCACCACCTGCCCATCACCTTCACCTCACCACCCGCACCACACAACCCTACACCTCCCACCTGCACCCCCAAACCCACACCCCTCACCACCCGCACCATCCCAAAACCTACACCATCACCACCTGCCCATCACCCACACCTACACCATCACCACCTGCACCATCCCCAACACCTACACCTCACCCCCTCACCATCACCACACCTACCCTCACCACCTGCACCCTACCTACACCACACCATCCCACCTGCACCTCCCAAACCCACACCATACCCCACCCCGCACCCCACCAACACCCACACCTCACCACCTGCACCTTTACCCAAAACCTACCCATCACCACCCGCACCATCCCTACACCCCACCATCACCACCTGCCCTCACAACACCTACACCCCTCACCCCCGCCCATCACCAACACCTAACCATCCCACCTGCACCTCACCCAAAACCTACCCATCCATCACTCGTCATCGCAAAAAATTGGGACCTCAACAGGTGGTAGTGGTGGTATGGTGATGATAAGGCTATATGGTGGGGTTTTAGGGGGGTGTGCACAGGGGGAAAATTTTACCTTCAAAATTCAAATTCTAGGGGCCACAGATCTTCCTCGTCATTTCATATTGTCTCATCACCACCGTCGCTTCTCACTGTCTCATCGTCACTGTTACGTGTCACTGTCATCACCGTCACATCGTTGTGGATTACTCATCTGTCCGCCATAACATTAGTAAGTGATCTCTAAATTCAACGTAATGTTGTATAGATGGGCACAAAAACCCCCATGACCGTGAAAAGGCGGGACCCGGAGCTATGACCGACCCCTGCAACCATATTTGCTTTACAAAAAAACACAACACACACGTAAAGAAACTAGAGAAAATGCAAAAGGTTTGCAACAAGACTGTCCCCGGTAAGGGGGAAAAAGACCCGACGACACTGGAGGCAGGAGAGATAGGGGAGAAAATATCGACATATAAAATCAGAGGAATTGACAAAGTGGACAAAGACGGATTTCCCGAGATGGGAACGAACAAGGGGACACAGTTGGAGTTGAAGACACAGATAGTCACAGGGAGTTAGGAAGTATTTCTTCAGTCACAGATTAGTCAGGAAGTGGAACGTTTGGAAGCGATGTATGGAGGGAGGATCCATACGTGCTTTTAAACAGAGGTATGATAAAACTCGTGGTTCAGGGAGAGTGACCCAGCAGCGCCTGAAGACGCGGGGGGTGGAGCTATGACTCGACCCTGAAACCCCAACTAGGGAAATACACACACACACCCCCACACACACACACCCACACACACACTTGTAAAATACATAAATAACACATATTGTTTTAAATTTTGTAAAGGGCTGTTTTTAGATTTTACCGCCGAAAGGGGTTAGTTTATTTGCAAACCCATAGCCGTCCTATGGACCCGGGACTGGTTAGTTTTTTTGTGCAACCTTAGCCGTCTATGGACGGGACTGGTTAGTTTATTGTAACCTATGCCTCCCTTTGGGCGGTATGGTTTGTTTATTGTGCAACCTAAAGCCGTCCTATGGACGGTACTGGTTAGTTTATTGTGCAACCTATAGCCGTCCTATGGACGGTACTGGTTAGTTTATTGTGCAACCCATAGCCGTCCCCATGGACGGTATGGTTATTTTTGTGCAACCCATACCCTCCCATGGGCGGTACTGGTTGTTTATTGTGCAACCTATAGCCTCCTATGGACGGTATGGTTGTTTTTTTGTGCAACCATAGCCGTCCATGGAGGTATGGTTAGTTTATTGGCAACCTTAGCCGTCCCATGGACGGTAGGTAGTTTTTGTGCACCCTTAGCCGGCCCATGGATGGTACGCAAGAGCATATGGATACAAAAAGCTCAGGAATTAGGCCCTAAACTGGTTCACAGAATTACACCGGAAATTATATACACAATTTGTCTTATAAGTTATAAGCAAATTTAGGATATTTGCTTAATGTGTTCCTCCACTTGTTTATGTGTTCCTCCACTTGTTCCATGTGTTCCATATGTTCCTCCACGTGTTCCATGTGTTCCATATGTTCCTCCATGTGTTCCATGTGCTCCTCCATGTGTTCCATGTGCTCCTCCATGTGTTCCATGTGTTCTTCCATTTGTTCCTCCATGTGTTCCTCCACGTGTTCCTCCATGTGTTCCTCCATGTGTTCCTCCATGTGTTTCTCTATGTTTCACTCTTTTTACAGAAGACGGAGGAAACCTGCTAACCTGTAATCCGCCGAGTGCAGACCCACTGCAACCCACTGAGTGCAGACCCACTGCAACCCACTGAGTGCAGACCCACTGCAACCCACTGAGTGCAGACCCACTGCAACCCACTGAGTGCAGACCCACTGCAACCCACTGAGTGCAGACCCACTGCAACCCACTGAGTGCAGACCCACTGAACCCCACGGGTGCAGACCCACCCCAAACCCACTGAGTGCAGACCCCTGCAACCCACTGGGGGCGGGCCCCCTTTTGAAAACCCACTGAGTGCGGGACCCACTCCCACCCACGGGAGTGCGGGACCCACTGAAACCCCACTGGGGGAGCAGCCCCCTTTTGAAACCCACTGAGTGCAGACCCACTGCAAACACACGGAGTGCAGACCCACGCCCCCCACTGGTGCAAAACCCCATTTGGAGTGCCCCCCAAATGCGACCCACGAATGTAGCCCCCATGCAATCCACGAGGCAGCCCGACTAAGTGTGACCCATTTCATCTAAATCAGGTTAAACTTCACGCAACCCCCTAAAGTGTAGACTACGCATTCACCACTAAACACGCAAGGGGAAAACCAACAAAAATCAGTGTTACCATGATACACTCACACACCCATTTTTCGTCTCAAGTTACCAGGTAAGTTTAATCTCAGTTTTTAAACACCCCTACGGGTGACAGTTTTTAAACTCTTTTTAAAGCAATCTTCTGGCAAAAACAGTGTTTGAGCGAATAATGATAAATTTTTTTTCCCCTTTTTTTTTTTGTCCCCCCCTATTCTGTGGGAAAAAGGTTTCCTGGGTGTTTACACACACCACCACACACACAAAACACACACACAGTCATCAGCAGACGGGGTCACAAGGCCCGAGTTTTTGGGGTTTTTTAAGGGGGTGAAAACAATGTTTGCATTTAATCAGGGGGTAGGGGAAAACGTCATGAACAACCCTACGAGTGAAAACCCAAGTTTTTTTTTTTAAAAAAAAGTCGAGAGGAACCCAAATCTTTAATTTTTCAAAGTTTTAAAAACCGTTAGGGATAGTAGGCTTCGGGTTGCTACACAGTTTTCAAATAAAACAAAGATTCTGGAGTGTGGAAGCGGGGGGTTCAAAATTTGAAGAGATTGGATAAAAAGTGAATTGTGGGGAAACTTACAGTGAGAGTAAAATAATTAATAAGCAAAAGCAAAAGGGGAAAAATAAAATATAAAAAAAGGGGGAAAGGGGCCCATTTGGGCCTGCTGAATCAGTGACGTCAAAAACATTGGCCTGACATTAAATAAAAAAGGGGTAACACCGAATGTGAAGTGTTTTTCAATATAAGTGAAGTTTACTCTATCATAAGTGAAAAACTGGGGACGCGGGATGCCGCCCCCATATCGGTTAAAAAGACCCACAGGTGAAAAATTTTAAAAAATAGTGATAGAAGACTACGTCACACATCTGGAAAATTTGGGCAGGGCATACTCCCCAGCTTAAGTATACTCACCTTTTTGGGGTTTTTTTGGGGGGCCCCTGAACCCTCCTTGGCACTGTTAGTTACGGTCATTTCATCCTGAAGCTTTTACCAAATTAAGAGCAGGAAACCCATAAAATAAGGTGAAAAAAGGGGTTTGACAAAGGGAGGAGCACAAAAGCGAGGGGAAGCCTAGTGGGGGTCAGACACCCCCTAAACCCGGGACAAGATAAATTTTAAAAACCTAATTATTTTGTTTTTATAATTTAAGTGATAAGTGCTAGAATTTTCACTTTTGGGTTTTGTTTTTAAAATTTACTGGTACCCTACCGGAAATTTATTAGCGTAAAATACTTAAAAGGGGGGGGGCACGCACACCCACACAACACACACACACACACACACACACACACAAAACACACAAACGACACCACACGCCAACACACTCCCAAAACACATACACATCCCACACACACATACACACAACACTTACACGCAAAATAACACACACATACACACCCCAACCACACACATACACAAAATACCACACACATACGAACACGGGAAACCCAAGAAACTTGTAAGCTGAAGTACACACGAAAAACACACAAAACACAGGATTTCACCCCGGCCTTTAGAACTGCCAAATCTAAACCCCTTTCTCCCCCCCCCCCCCCTCTTTCTAAAACAAAAATTGGGGGTAATCTTCCCCTCACTAAATTCCTATATCTCTCTCTCTCCCTATCTCTTTTCTCTTTTCCCTTTTCCCATTTTTTTCCCCCTCTAACATCTTTTAAACCTTTAACACCCCCCCCCCCTTTAAAAACTCTCCCCCCCCTAAAAAACTTTTCCCCCCCC